ATCTTTATTTAGGGTTCACTGGAGTGGAGGGTACAACGTATTCCACGAATCTGTTAGTAAATATACTAACTCAGGAAAGTTGAAGCCCCGCTTACGCCTTTTAAGAGAAGAACAATCTTACTGCTTCACTGACGAAATGTAAACTGTGTTGGGGTTTAAAGAAAATAAAGTGTTTCGCTCTTTACTTGTCTCTCTTCGTGGTTGCTGTATCAGTCAGCAGTTGTATTTGAAAAGAAATAAATTCAAATGTCCAATAATCGTCAACTTCAGGATGGTTAATAACGACGAATTTTCGCTCGCAGTCACGTCTAAGGATGAAAAGGACATCCCTAAGCTGTAGGGTCACAAATGGATTTCAGAATGATAGTTTGAAACAACCATTTTGATCATCGAAGCATGGGCAAATGAACAGGCAGTAATGGAGGCGTTTGAGTACAAAGTATTTATGATATTGTACCATGTGCATTGTTGGTTTGTTGCGGAGTGTGCTTGTGGTCAGCTACAACGTGCATTACGCGTAGCACTGAGGATTTTGTACTGTATGGAAAGAATACTTTTAGTCGCAGGTGTTGTCTATAAGCCACTTCGGTACTGCACGGTTGTACATCCGTGTTCGGAGCTGACCAGATGCGGAAGAATACCATGACTAGCACTTTTCAAGTGATTATCGGTACTCAGTAAGGCATTTACCAACATACTCTCTGCTAGAAGAAGCTAAGTAGGAGCCCATGTGCGATGCAATTTAGGAACTTATGTGGATCGATGAACGTCGATGAGTTGGTTAGTTGTCAACGGTCTGTGGTCACCATGGCTGGGCAGCCGTATGAAATGACCCAGGGCTCTGAAAGCGTGAGTGACATTCTACGCAGACACATCGGAAATTGAAACTAATTCGGGACAGTGAGTGGGCCAACCCGCCACGCTAAAGATATACATAATATCGCTGAAAGCCGGTAATGGTCCAATGATGTCAATGTGGACATTAATCCTAACATAAAGCGCCATCGGATCAACAACGTGTCGATGATATTTAGCAGCTGGTCGGTTAGACAACTGCGTACCCAGAATCTAAAATCACTTTACACGTTGGGCCAGACGTGGCTACTGGCAGTCAGCTTGCTTGCGTTCCGGACACCAAGAAGCGGGATGGTGTACAGTTTATGGAAGACTTTTCATTAAAATAAACTAAGCCAGCTTTTATATGAAAGCGAAGGGAAGCGAAGGAGCTGACACGGGACCCCCCTTCTGCTCTCTACCACTCAATGAACTCAATATGAATGTCCTGTGTAAATATTGCAAGCTATCGTGTCAGTGGATGACAGAAAGGATAAGGATACCGACTAAGGATGCTAGAAGTCATTTGTCCTTTCGTAAAATAGCTGAATTCAATTTATTCTATTAAACGGTGGCACCTTCCTGCATTTTTAAAATTTATAAAAGTAAAGCTAAACTGAAAACTTATTTGTGATTTGTTATTTGGCGTCCATGCCTAAGAAATTAATCGATCTAGCCGTTGGTGCTAAACGTCGAACCTTGCGAGTGCATGCGCCGCTACAGAACAAGTGTAAAAATCTAAAGTCTAACAAGTTCTCACATGCTGCACAAAGTGAAAACGCGGATACGAAAGCGTTGCCCGCAAGCAAACCGCGCGTCTTTGAGCTCAACAAGCTGTTCACCTTAGTACAGGTGTGGATCCTTCCACCTCGATTTCATGAGGTGGGTGGCTTGGTGGACACAAGACTCGTTTTCGTTATGTTGTCGCCCGGCCAGCACGGGTTATGTCACGTAATGCAAGCAGTTTGTGCATCTCTGAGGTGTGTTTTGAAAATGGATAATGTGGATGCAATGACATAAACCAGAAGAACAGACTAAAACTACCAAAAGCCGAGGAGGGAAACTTCGTGCGGCATTCCAGAAAGACATACTGCATGGCGGGATTCAGTTAATTTCCCCTCTTGTTATTCTACGAGTAAGCTTCATGAGAGGTGGTTAACGTGACAGGTCATCGGACTGATAGGCCGAGATTAGCTCACCCCGCAGATGATGATTCTTTTCACTAGTAACTCCCATTGCCTTCAGCTTGTGATATGGAATACAAAACATAACTTTTATAGTCAACGTTGTCCTTAGCTATGAAGTCTCATGTTCTGTGAGATCGCACAAGTACCAGCAACGTTAGCTATAAATGGCGTATTCCACCGTAAATATTTACAAGAAGGTGGATGAGTGAGACCACGTGATCGCGTTTCAGCAGAGACCAACTTGACTATTTATACTTTTTAATCCGTTCACGGACTGATTCTGGTATGCGATGTCATACTGAATCATTATTATTATGACACTCTATTGTAACAACCTGCGAAGGGGTTCTCTGAGTGTAAATATGCTAATTGGTTACGAAAGACCTAGAGCTCCTTTCTGACTGCCGCCCCCCCCCCCCAATATGCCTCGACGTCATCGGTGAAAGCTAAACCATTAAAGGGGACTACTCGCATGATTTTCAATTAAACCTAGCTATTAATGACTGGTCACATCTGGACAACAAAATATAGAGCTACTTGAAAAAGGAAAAGCAACCTGGTTGACCACAAAAGCTTCCCAGTTTAACGATTTTAGACAATAAACGTTTATCCACCAATGCTTCGAACACAAATGGAATCCGAGCTTGTTTCGCCTGTGAATAAGTCGCAAATACACGGAATGAAAGCATGAATGAATACAGTTGGTACCAAGCGTCCAAATTTACGGCGTAGTTTTGAGCGACCCCACTCAGCGCTGGTCACTTCGGTTCTTCACTTATCATTCTTGACGGTCTGAACCGCATGCGAACAAACTAAGTGATGGACTGCACGGGTAGCACGGATAATGACCTCAAGTTGTGTCATCACTGTACTAGGCATAAATACTGTTTTGGCCGCTGTTGACTGCGCTCGTTTGATAGACACAGGCTAACGACTTTTTAATGGTTTAAGCACATTGACCTAGATGTGCGTGACCACCATTGTAGATACTGGGTGAGCGGCTGTCAGGTTCCATTGGCTAAGTAGTGTAAACGGTGAATCACTTGTAGACCCACACATTCAATTCCTACGGTTCCTTGCGGAATTGCTGAAATACTATACATGTGTCACTCGTGAAGCTTTCATATATTTCAATCCGTTTCAGGAGTAATCTAAGGCGATGTTTCGGGTCCATAAATATTATTCATTTCAGCTCGCTCAATACTTACTACCCTGTTTGGAAGAGATCCGCGTTTTACAGTCCCACCAATCAGTCTGAAATATGTCAGTCCATATGTAAATGACATCCGTCCATGTAGGTGTCTGTGATAGCCCTATACATAGCAAGTATCGATGATTTCAGACGGCCTTTGTCAAAACCCCGATAAGATTTTATATATTGTTTTTGAATAAACGATACAAACACAATGTAAAGTTAGTAGTTATAAGCATTCTATATGCAAACGCTACTACTTAATGCGTGCGTACAACGCAGCACGCGCGGCATAAGCCTATATTACCGGAATTGAGGCGGATAGCTCACCCTCTCTGCTCAGAGCAGCAAGCAGTGAAATATTAAAACTAGTTACCCGAAACAATAGTCGTGGCAAAATCGGTGTGGGAATACAAAAATTTCTTAGATGTTCACTTTACAGACCACATACCTCGTGAGCGCGTCGCAAAGTCACATAATTGAACTATACTGACAATGAAATTATGCCGTGTGTGCACCCGATTATATTGCGAAGGGAGAACATAGTATACATATGCCAGTTTTCTTACTTTCATATTCATTATTCAGCCGACCAATCATGAATGGGATCGGGATAAAACAAATGCATGGTGACTTTGTATTCTAGTCTACTGGATGGTGTTGCGAAAGGCCTACATTTTTGGGCTAATCACGCTGACTATTCATAATATAAGCAATAGGTTGAACAACTTGCAGTCATAGAAAAATTTTGTATTGTCATAGAGCATGAGCACCTCAACGTCCTCTGTAAACTGTTATGTAAGGAATACAGTGGAAAACGTATCTATGTTTACAACACTTCAACAATGAAACACTAATCTCCCTATGTTGATCATAGGTTGGATCACACCGGTTGTCTGCTCCGTGTTGGTGCTGGTCCATTGTGTGGCATTCAAATTGATTTAACAGGTACAGTTTGCTCAGAAAGTAGTTAAATCGGCTCCAAAACCCCTAGGACAATCACGCAATCGTAGAAGCATTTATATGAAAAGTTATCGATATAAAACGGTTTGACGGGTGTCATCCGATCAGTTGATTACAGAGGGATAGAATTTGTTGTTGCTTATACCAAATATCCAACAGAAATAGTTACAGTAGCGACAATGCCTAAACTCGGAGTTAGCCGAACCAACTAACCATATACAAACGCAACTGCAAGTTGTACCAAATGCAATCATTCAGACGGTACTCTTGCTTTCTTCCTCAAGTTCAATGAGTATCAGAATCGATATCCTCAGCATAATCGAGGTGCATTGACGCACCTGTGTGGCTTTTTAGTACCTTGCGCAACAACTCTACCTGAGTACCGCCAATTCACTTTTGTATCTTCGTTACAAGCAGGAAATAATTGACATCAGTTTGTGGTTCTATTGCTTATGTGGACCGTGCACTTAGGTCTTGAAGCTCCTCGTGAAACTGTACTCTGGCTAGGCTTGAATCTACACATTATAGGACGACCAAAAATGTCAACGGTTTGACCCTTCCCATTACCAACTTAGGTTGTGGACACTATGAGTTTCTGCGGACCGTGTCATTGCGTATGGGTTGTTATATGATAGGGTATCAAATCCTCAGGTATTCCAACCACGCATGTCGTCGTTTATGGTAACTTATTTACAATCACTCCTCCGGAAGAAACACTAGTTAAGGTTGGCCATGTACATTAGACGCTCCTCCGATATCGCTTAATTCCACCCCTACCTTGCCCAAATTTAAGAGAAGAAGAGATGTTGCATGGGTAAACAAAACTGCGCCATCTGGGTCAAGTTCTCGAGCCACGTTACAGGGTGAGATCAAGCAGTTTGTAGATGTGCGACTTACAGTGAATCTACTGGCTGCTTTTCTCAACATATCTTTTGCGTATACCATCAACCATTGAGGCTTAGCAAACATTCATGTGCTCTCTCAGAATAAAATCGCTGGTTCAATTTTCCGATGTTGTGGAACTGGAGCACACACGGGAAAGGGCATTGGACCGCCTTTCGAAATGCACAGATCATAGCCTCTCTCACACCCATAGGTAGATGAAAGTAATTTCCATGTAGCATGTAAATAATACCACCTTTGTTGGTTGCACTGTAAGGTAAGGATAATTATAGCGCCTGCGCTCCAAGATAATTTGTAGCAACTCAATAGGGAGCAGAATTGTTCGTTTATTCGACATTTTCCTTGAAGAACACTTTTGCTAGTGATAAACATAATCTTATACAGTTTGTGTGCGTGGAAAGAATACTAAAAGATAAATCTCTAAACACAGTCATGTTATACCCCTTTAATCAGTTCACTTGGCCTGCGGCTTTGATTCCCGCTTCTTGGCATAACTGGCGCCATGCAAGAAAGCAAGGCTGCCTTTTCTGCTCGTAAGTTCGATGTTAGCGAGAGATCCGACCAGTCTATCTCGTTGGCGTTTCTCCTGAGCGTATTCCACCAGGGCTGCGTCAGTGTGCTCTTTCCAATCGGAACCAGCAACTCTGAGCATCATTGCATTTATCATACCGGCGTCACGATGTACTCGGTCGACTATCAGATATGAGGCCTGAGAATGGAGAAACACATGCGATGTCAACGTGAAAGCAACTCAACCGACGAATACATCAATAATGGCATGTGCATACATGTAATCAAACCCTAGTGCTGAAGTGACGTAGTTTGGTAAGTTACCAATAGTACAGTAGCTAGGCAAACTGTCAAAACCGAGGTGTTTTTACATTTCTAAAGTGATAGTATTGTGATCAAAATAGTGGGCTATTTGAAATACTTCGCATACGAGGTTTCCTTCTCTGTTCCACTTGCATGCACTTTAATTGTGATACTGGCATCTGAATATATTTCCGTAGCATATTGATCAGGATACGAAAGCCAAACTTCTGTTATTATTTGGATCAAATTAATGCGAGTTTGCTGTCGTATACGTAAGTCAAACCTACAGGGTGTATCTGTCTCTCTAGCTCAAACTTTGTGTTGTACGCTGCCGTAGCGCGACTACAAGCGCTATACAGTCAAAACAGTTCTCTTGCAGCGACCTGAAGGTTTCTTTGTTTGACTACAGCACGTTCTACTTAATAATTTCATGCTATAGCTTCACTGCGGACCTTGATAAATTTGGCAGTTAATCTTTTGGAAGGTTGACTAAGTTTGTTCGATTAAATCGGACCCAACGAATTTGATGCGCTTATGCCTACCCGCCTCAAATGCTGCATCTTACGTCTGAAAATCTCCAATTTCTCCCCCAGCTAGACTCAGTTTTGGCACGATTTAGTTAGCGGGATTGTAAGTTTCGGAAATAAACATTAACCTCGTCAAATTTAGTTCTTTTCCTTCGTTTTTCTACCGTTATTCAGATGTAAGTCCATAGTGAAATTTTACGCAGCTGTACTATGCACCTGTCTAAGGCGACCACTCAAAGGACCCACATAAAGCTATTGCCTTGGACGCGTGGTCGCCATAGACAGCTGATCGTAATGGCACGTTGGACTGCAGTACGGAGGTTTTTGCGCACCAGAATAACATACAATGGAATCATGGTTTTATACGAGTAAAAAGCTACTACTTAACAGATCCCATAGGACGGTTATGGTGAACCAACAAAATATAAAGAAGGTGTTAGCATAATTTGGTTTACACCAGTGAACGCACTGAATTATACGTAGTTTTGGCTGTTAATTCAAAGTAAATCAATAAGAAGTGACGGCAAATGAGATGTTGGTAGAAATCGTGTCTCATTCTGATGTAGACGTACAGGTGGGGAAAAACGTGGAACGGAATTTGTGCTGTGACCGCTATTGAAATCTTACAGACACTTGGGTTTATCCACGGGTAATGGGTCATATAAGATGGCACAGAGAATTAAGTGCATGGTCAACTCGGGCTTTGAAGTCTGTCAGCGTGTGAGCACATATGATAATTTCCTGTAGAGCATTCCATGTACGGCAAACGCTTACGGAAAAGAAATCCCGACTGCATTCCATGCTACTATACTGCTCGGGCAGCTTGAGATGGTGATCTCTCAAACTGCTGTTGTGACTGAGCTCCAGTAAGTAGCGGCACATGTGGCTGGGATCTCATAAAATTTGGTAAGTCGAAATGTGGTCTACGCACAATCGCCGCTACTGTCTGCTGAAGACTTTGAGCACTTGTAGCCTTCGTTCATGCGACAAATTATACCGACCCTTGACATTCTTGCTTGCCCGGTGTTGGAATATCTCCAAGGCAGTGAACTCTCTCCTCCGCCATGACTGCCAGACCTGTATTGCCTATTCCACATGTGGCCGTATGTATCAGCCGAGAAGTTGTGGAGGCGCACATGTTGCATGCCCCTTGTAAACGCCGTCTCAGCCAGTTTCCAACATCCTAGGTCGACCTGGACCAAAACTCCCAGATCCTTCTCTCCAGAAGACGTTTGAAGCGCCCGGTTGTCGAGTTTGTAGGAGGACACCAACTTATGTCCTAGGCGAAGCACTCTACATTTGTCCACATTGAATCGAAGTAGATTCTGGATTGACCAAGCGTATGCCCTATCCAGATCAGCTTGTACTACTGTGATATCATCTGGAGGTTATTGCGGAAGTACAGAGCCGCCCCTCCACCTTTGCTGGGTCGGTCGTGCCGAGCAATGGGCATGCCTGGCAGTACGATCTCCATGTCACTTTTTTCAGGTCGTAACCATGTCCCCGTTATAGCGACGAGTTCGCAGGGTTTTGATCATTAACTCAACCGCATTTCGGAATGTTAACTCAGTAAGCCTTGAGCGTTGGTGTACATACAGGAAAGCTTCTCGGATGTCAAAAGATGTTGACTAGGAGCGCGTGAATGATGTGGATTTGTGCCGACCGAAGACAGCCCAGCACCTAATCGTTTTTTGGGTGAATTGCCAATTCACGGTAGGAATGCAATCTGTTTTTGATCACACTGGCACCTGCGGTACGTAGTCCTTCGGCAGTCTTCTCGATAGCTGCGGATATTAAGGCACAGTTTTCTGAATCGCTGTTGTGGTTACATTAAGTCGCCGGCGGTGTCGTTTCCGCGAGAACAGCGGGTGGTTGCGGCTCTCTAACGGCTGCCTGCAGTCGTAATTCCGAAGGACGTGTGTTGCGTAGTAATCGCCAGCTACGGATTAAGTTCACGGCCATCAGTTGTGAATGCACTTAGTTTCAGGATTCTAGGGCCACTGCCTTTGTATTTTGGCGAAAGGAGTAACCAACTAATCGACTGCGATATGACGGCGCTTGTACAGAGGGATTCACGAATGTAACGCCATTCGCCCAGGTCATGAATCTGGGCTTCTTCGTTTCTGGTTATCCGTAGTTCGGGCACGCCATAAATGAGAATAATTCATTTAGTACTCTCCATTTGTCGGTCTTTTGGAATTATTTTTGTCCCTCTGGCGTTCGCCTCATGGAACATATGGAAATATGCATCTGCCTTTGTTTTCAGTCCGCAGGCGGTATGCCGACGAAAGTACCGTCTCGACATTATCTATTGATCCCAATGTTACTCACATCAGCCGGGGCTCCGCATAATGATTCGTTTGGATGTCTAATGACGCGCATTGTGTTACTCAGAGTGGCTTGAACTCCAATGTTATTACAAAGGCAATTCCATTGTTTTAACTCATTTAGCTGTTTACCCCTTAAGGAATTTGCCTTGGATTCAGGAATGTTGGTGCATATAAGTGTCAAGACCCCGCAGTTCCGCCTGGTCTTCGGTGATGGAGGAAGCACGGTTATCGAAGGATTTAGTGACGTCTCGGTCGCTTGCACCTGGTCCTTCATCCATTTTGTGGCTGTACTGGGTGAGGTTAATGAGGTCACACTTTGATTATACCGAGCAGCAACGACTGCATAGGTAGATCGGTCTTTAGAGCGCTTCGGATTTCGTTGATCAATCGGAAGGGTGGGTGTTACCTATGTTGCATCAGTCGATACATTGGCTAAGAGGATGCGGGCGGTGGGGCTAGGCATGTTTCAATTAGTCGCAACGACGACTTGCTTCTTGATTCCCAAGGTTTCTAGTACTGCGTGGACATGTGAACGCCTGCCCTATTCCTTGGTTTCGAGGCGGCAATTGCGAGAGACGGATAAGGTGCAAAATGTGCTATTGTTGACTCGAGTGAAGCAATTTTTGCATCCAAGCGATAGCTTCAGTGATTAGACTGCAGTACTGTTGTTTTAACGCTAGTACGCATTTCACCAGTGAAACTGCTGGGCACTTCGTACAGAACCAAAGTGAACCCGGCGTATTGTATTTATTTATGTGGGTTCTACAGACGTTGACGCATTTCGAATGGTACCGGTCTTCGCAATTTGTACAAGTCAGTCCTCCTTTTACGACCTTAGCACAACGTTACTTGGCACAAAATACTTCATTTCGGATTACCGAAGCGGTGGTCATGATGGCCGATTACCGTAGAACAAATCCAAGATGGCGTACACAGAAGGCGGTTAGGCCAATTAATCGGAACTCCGAAATTAACCGGAGAATCTCAACAACCTAGCACAGATTAAAGAACACACCAAAAGGATAAAGTTGGTGCACAATTCACACAAAGAAATCATGTAGAACAGAGCAATCTCCAAGAAAAAGTGGCATCCAGCAGGCTGTTAAATGTTGCAGAGCTAAAATATGCCACTTTCATTTGTCCTGTCTGACGGTTACTCAGTGTTCTAATCAACACACGCATGAGATTTTCAAAAGACGGTGCGTTCATTCTCAGCTTAATAAAAAAAACTAGTGTTGTGTGGGAGTCTAACACAAGGTAACTCACATTTAGGTTCCGTTCAATGAAATACTCAATTTCAAAATCATCAACGTCTTCACCGAATGGATTAATCAGAGCTTCAGCTACCTGGAAGGCAAAATTTAGCAGCGCATATCCTTGCCATGTACAAGGATCAAAATATGCATTACACAGACGAAAGCTCAAGCATTACAGATTGATAAAATTGTTCAGTAAAATTCTTAAATGGGTTGAGAAATTACATGAAATGCGCTCGTGGTGTGAACCGCATGAGTTGAATTTCTGCAGAGTATCGTTCTTGTATTTGGCGCGTGAAAGTGTCTCGGTTGATGTACGACCATAAGATCTATGCATACACCTCTGTAGCTTTTCGCTAGTCTATACCACTCATTGATTCATAGATGGAGTTATTAAACAGATACCATAAAGCTTTTAACATTCTTCATCGAGCCACAGGGGATCGCTAGAGCCGATGTTCTCACTGCTCTTCCAACGAGATCAGAACCAGGATCAATTATTGACGCTGGTTGGTTTAGCAACTAAACTAGATAACTAAGAATTACTTAGACGAAAGAAGTATAAAATGGTGACCCACCAACCCAAAGAGCAGCATTGCATCCTAATTCCAACATCCATCCATCTTTCCATCGCAACCTCAATGGGGGCAAGTGCGTTTACACTAAGATGCCCACCGTTCCTATGTTAAAGTACCAGGCAGCTGGAATTAGAAAACAGTTTGGAAATAATAGAGAAAACATAACGGAGTCCGTGGATACCGCGCTTTATCTAAATGTCACGAATCTCAGCGCCTGCATATTGCGTATGTTAGTTTAATTTTCGTGAATGTGCAGATATCGGAAAAGAGGAATAACATCTGCGATTATCTTGATGAATACCAAGTACCGTTTAGCATACACACTACGGCCCTAAAGGAACTGCTGCTCCAATGCGGATGCAGCATTACGTTTTTGTTTAACGGTGTGTTATGCAAAGAGCACCATTGAGTTGCGATGGGTTATCCACTTTGCTCACTCATTGCTGACATCTTCACGTTAAATTCAGGCATTATGAAAATCAGTTTTCACTGCCGCCACTTCGAAGATATTTTATACCGCTCCTTTAAATGTTGTAACATGGAGGATCTCATCAATGCCTTTAACCAGGCGTTCGAAGCGCTGAACTTCACCTCCGAAGTGAAGCAACTTGAATATTTTCAATTTCTCGATGATTCTATAAACCACATGGATGGTGGTTCTATACACCATCAAGTGTATGGAAAACGCACTTGAAATTGTTGATATATGGATTTCCACAGCACAATTTCACAAGGCTCAAAAGGGAACATGGTCCTCAATCCAATGAACCAAGTAGAAAGAATTCGCTAGAAAGAAGTGTTTACCGAAGAACCGTAGCTCATGTGTTCGATGCTGGGGAAATGACTACCCAATGTGTAGCAAAGGAAGGAGGCTCCTGTAACCCTTCCAACCGATAGAAAACCCGTTCTTTTAGCTCACCGGACAGCGGTGAACTTGCCGCTAACATCCTAACTCATAATGTTTCGCACTCCAACAGACACAATTTTCCATCAAGCAAATTGCAAATCCAGTTCATCGGCAACCCCGTGATATGGAAAAGACCCAAAACTAGAGGTTTGTCCACTTCATCACCGTCTACTTACACCTTCATCTCTTACTGCGGAGTAGTGTCTTGGAACGTGAGAAGACACAATTTGGCCTGGCCTGTGAATGCGTGCCGAGGACCAAACCATTCCGTAGTCATGAACCTTGCGACGTAGGTCATGCCACCAAGTTGGCTGATTCGTTCAAAGTCAACTATCAGACGTCGGAAAATCTAGCAAATTGGTAGATTCGTGGTTACTGGAATGCACGGTGTCAATCGCTTTCCGACTGTAGGAGCCGGATTTATGCGTTATAAAAGATCCGAATAATGCGGTAAGAAGACAAATGTTGCTAGAGGCATACATTTATTACTGTCTCGGCATTAACACTAACAATAACCGATACCCAACTATACAAATAACTATGAGTGTGACCAGACAATATTGAGGTGCAAAATGGATGACTAAAGTTCCACCCGTATTTCCATGGCAGTTTTTAAGCTTACAAATAATTGATTCTGAACGCACAGAGCTGGCTTCATCCGGCATATTGCCACAGCCTCAGGGAAATGGAGGAAACGAGGGTTAAATTGACTTAACACGCTGGTGAAAGCTGGTCCAAACTGTGTCCGGTAACGCGCCCGGTAGGTGACTACCTATTGAGGAAGCTGGTGGCCTGCGCGAGCACGAAAATTCAGGGGGCGGGGATGCTGGTTAATTTCTTCGGGAGGTCAAAGACCGATTAGTTCTGCCCATGTAACTGCACCCGTAGTCACACATGAATTAGGGTATGCAGTGTGAATTGGACTTAACGGCTGAACTTCCTTTGTTAGAAGAACAGGCAAATTACGAGTTTGGTTAATGGTCACAACTTCAGTAGCGTGGTAACTTCTCTGCGTAGCAGAAATAAAACATTTGGTGGTCACCCTTAAAAGGCAACTGGATATAGACGTTTTTCTTGCATGCTGTATGGACTAATTCCATTGGGCCTCGTTGTTGCCTGTGCTTCTCTATGGACCTGCGAGGATAACCAGTAGTAACTAGCTCACCGGCCAGACTACGCCGAACAAATTCGTCTAGCGCGACTAACTAAAGTTTTCACAAGCGTCTGTTTTCGTACCGCACTGTTGTGAAGCTGGTGAAATGCAGGAATTGACCGGACCATGTAAGTTTTCTTTAGACGTTCCCCTTAATTACTCCGTCATCTCTGTAACTGATAAGGATGTTTAAGAATGGTAGACAGTGCTTCTACTACTCTTCACAGGTGACCCACAAATTAGCATGTGCCTGGTTAAGTTGATCTACCAACTGCACGATCTGTTGCTCCGAGAAACAAAATGCCAGTATGTCATCCCCATAGTGTTTATAGTATGGCAGCTTGGCCATTTCTGTGGATATGCCTTCTTTTTACCATCAACTTAATAAAATCTGTGAGTACATGGTCTAATGGGCTACCCATTGCCACTCCATCGATTTGACAGTATGGCGTATTCTGAAAGTGAAAGCCAACATTTTCAGTACACAAGAGCAATGCTACTTTTTGTAGTTCGACTGGAATTGACAACGAATAAACAGATTACTCAGCTCGTTCGCAGATATAATCGACTACCTAGTGTAGTGCTACGTTAGTGAACAGAGATTCCACATCCAATTAACACACACTCATCGGACAGGTTGATGTGCTCCAAGTCATAGATGAGTTGAAAGGAATCCTGGCCAGTTGTCGCAGCGGTGAAAGAATATTCACTGGCCAGTGAGCTAATTTATGTTGCGCCGCATTTATTTTGATAGAATCAGTCTAAGTAGCACATCGCTCTTGTACGCTTTCGGTGACCAGTACTGCTTTATAGTAGTGTTGCTACTTGCCTTTAAACGGTTTCAAATGTCGGTTTAGTGGTTAGAATCAACTCAATGTTTGAACACGACGCTCATAAGCTTTGCTCCCACCATTACATAGACTAGCTGGGTAATGCTTACGTATTCTCTCAGACAGTTCCTGCGATGTATCTTGTTCTACATGAACAAGGGAAGGAATATACACAGTAAGAAGCATTCTGCCAAGGAAGTCTGCCTTTGGGTTGATACGAGTAGTGTCGAGTAGTGTCGCAAGCTTGCTGAGAAGTAGGTATGCTTCGTAGCGTCGGATAACCTTCTAGATCTTGATTGGGATATTCCATTCCCCTTACCCGGCAACAACAAATAAACACTTTCTTTTTGACTGAATCTGCTTTGGCTGTCTTTTTTCAGCACTACATATTTTTCCGAACAAACTTTTCTGGACGGCCGTTTCGTTCGAAAAGGTCGCTTACGAAACTGAACTCGTCCGCCAACGTGTCTTCACTGCAAAACCTTCCGGGCCTTTAAGTGAAACATGTAATCAAGCTGCGTTTCTGATTTTTTGGGACAATGCTGACAAAACGTATATATTGTCCTTTCTACCTGGATTTTCTATGCATCCTCCGTTGGACCGATCCATATGGTCTTCTACTAAACTGGACGTCTAGGATGGACATGGTGCCATTAGTTTCAGATTCTAGGGTGAGATTGGCATTAGCGTGCGCTGAATAAAAATGGGATACACTTTTCTCTGGGCAAGAGTGACTGTCTGTCACGCAAAATATATCATCCGCACGTCATCCGTAATAGCGCAGAGCGCTAGTGACTCCGCTCAGATTGGTATTCTCCAATTTGCTCATGAACACATCAGCTCGCAGCAGTCTAAGCGGTGAGCCTATTGCTACTGCATGCTTTTGTCTGTGCATGGCCAAGTTATAGATGTCTACCAATCACATAATGAAGGAGAAGCATTCCAAGGTAGGCAGCTATGCAGGCATCAACATCGGCTAGGTTCCCTACCTTCTTAAGTCTTTCAAACTTTTTCGTGACACTCAGTTTCTGAGCGTACTCGGCCTTGTTCATGACCACCACTCCAGAGCCTTCATCCCGTTTCATCACAACTACGTAGGACCTGAAGGTGCTAGCTTGCAAACGCGCATTTTTCAGTCAATGGCACAGTCTTAACTTTGTGGGTGATATCATCCAATTTGTTTCTAAACCAGACAACAGTGTCAGCAATGGATGGTTGAAACTTTTTCAATTGATCAAAAGTTCTTAATTTGGGCTGCTGTAAACAACCCGTCCAGCTTTCTATGGGAACTTTGTAATCAAGTAAGTATGACAATGCTGCTAACTGTAACACATCAAGTTTTACGTCTGATAAATGCACCCAGGTATTCGGCCTGCCTTGTTTCAATCGGACCGTGAAGTCTTGCCCAATGATTTTGTACACAAGTCCGCTGTGACCTATATGACAGTTATTATCAGTCATCTGTGATTGTCGACTAAACGTACTTTCTCGACTTACAGTATGTCTATCAAGTTTCTTTTTCCACTTATAATTATGTAAGGCCGAAGGGAATCATTGAAGATTTGTTGGCTTGAACGAAATTGATACGGAAAACGTGCACAAATTCGCAATTGTTTTGCCAGT